GATGTATTTTGATGCGCTGAACACGAATCTGAAGTCCGTTTAGCTCCATCACGTCAGGATTTTGACATAACCTCAAAAAACATAGCTGATTTTAAATGACAGGAGAAATTTTTTAAATAATGGCAGATTTGCTTGAATCTTGTTACTCGGGGGTTTTTGGGGTCGCTAATTACGAATTTAACGTCAGATTTAATAAATTCAAAATGGCGGATCCAATATGGCGGACGAATTTTTAAAAAGTAGTTGGATTTTTACGAAAATTGGTATCTAGGGGTTTTGGGAGTCGCTGATTACAAATTTATCGTCAGATTATTCAAATTCAAAATGGCGGATCCAATATGGCGGACGAGTTTTTAAAAAATAGTTGAATTTTTATGTAACTTGGCCGATACTGGGGTTCCGAGTCCCTGCATCGTAATACGTTTCCTACGTGTGTCTGCCATGACGGCATCAAAGCCATTATCCAGGGACTTAGCCGGATAGCGGACAAACTCCGTTGCCCACCGTCACCGCGTGGAGGTACCCTGGATGCAGACACATGTAGAAACATAAAGATATTTGACCACCGTACTATATCTGCCATTTTACATTTGAATAATCTGACGTTAAATTCGTAATCAGCGACTCCAAAAAACCCCATGATACCAATTTTTGTAAAAATCCAACTACTTTTTAAAAATTTGTCCGCCATATTGGATCCGCCATTTTGAATTTGAATAATCTGACGATAAATTTGTAATCAGCGACTCCCAAAACCCCTAGATACCAATTTTCGTAAAAATCCAACTACTTTTTAAAAATTCGTCCGCCATATTGGATCCGCCATTTTGAATTTATTAAATCTGACGTTAAATTCGAAATCAGCGACCCCAAAAAACCCCGAGTAACAAGATTCAAGCAAATCTGCCATTATTTAAAAAATTTCTCCTGTCATTTAAAATCAGCTATGTTTTTTGAGGTTATGTCAAAATCCTGACGTGATGGAGCTAAACGGACTTCAGATTCGTGTTCAGCGCATCAAAATACATCAAGAAATGATGGTCTCATTTCCCGGCCCGGGTACTTTTTTTTTTGTGTGGCTGTGTTATGTACTTAACAGAGAAAATTTCTAACCGACGGGAATTGAACCCTCGACCCTAACGTTTGCAATCCGATACCTTAACCCTGTTGAAAATTCCTATGTGAGAACACATATGGGATCCCATCCAGGATCTCTTGTGAGTTCTTATGTGGGTTCCCATACAGGTTCACACATAAGATCCTGTATGAAAAGGTTCCTGGGATGAACTTGCGTGAGATCAAGCGCACGATCTTATGTCTCTGTAAAAGCAATAACACAGGATCCCATGAGGTTTCCTGTGTAGGTTCCTATATGAACAACACGATAAATAGGAACACACATGGGATCTTATCCGAGATCTTGTATGAGTTCTTACATAGGTTCTCACATATAAGAAGATTAATAGCATATATATAAAAGCATTCTATAAAATCTTATTAAGCTGCTATTAATCTTCTTATATGTGAGAACCTATGTAAGAACTCATACAAGATCTCGGATAAGATCCCATGTGTGTTCCTATTTATCGTGTTGTTCATATAGGAACCTACACAGGAAACCTCATGGGATCCTGTGTTATTGCTTTTACAGAGACATAAGATCGTGCGCTTGATCTCACGCAAGTTCATCCCAGGAACCTTTTCATACAGGATCTTATGTGTGAACCTGTACGGGAACCCACATAAGAACTCACAAGAGATCCTGGATGGGATCCCATATGTGTTCTCACATAGGAATTTTCAACAGGGAACCGACTAACCACGCACGCTCGCTACGACAGTCTGCAAACTACTCGAAGACTACTTTCTGCTTGTCCAATTGGTAATTTAACTATTTAAAGTAGTCATTTTTACTACTTTTATTAGTTGCTATAACTATTCTTTTTAAGTTTTGACTTGTAAATTTTTCAGATTTTAATTATATTATAAGTTGTTTAATTGCATAGTGCAGTAAAATCTACTACTTAAAGTGATAGTTTTAATTGCAAAGGATTTTTTAATTCTACGACATAAATGTTTTTAAAGCCTATTATTAAAGCACTTTAAGTAGTAAAAGCTACTACTGAAAGTAGTAGTTTTAATTGGAAACGATTTGTAAATTTTACATCAAAAACGTTTTTCAAGCTTATTAAATTAATTAAAATAGTAAAAAATTATTACTTAAAGTAGTAGTTTTAATCACAAAGGATTTGTTAATTCTACAACAAAAATGTTCTTAAATCCTATTGTACCACTTTGAGTAGTAAAATCTACTACTTAAAGTAGTAGTTTTAACTGGAAACGATTTGTAAATTCTACACCAAAAATCTTCTTTAAATTTATCGAATTAATTGAAATAGTAAAAATCTACTACTTAAAGTAGTAGTTTTAATTACAGACGACTTGTTAATTCTACAACAAGAAATTTTATTGAAGCCTATAAAATCATAGAGATTAATAAAAAATTTACTACTCAAAAAGCAGTTATATTAATTAAAGAAAATAATTCCTTTTACTACTTTTCATATAACTGGTGAATAGTAGTTGGATTTACTACTCTTCAAATTTTCAGTTGACTACAATTCCACTTGTTTTTACTACCTCCCAGATAGCACAACTTTTTGCAGCAATTTTGCAGCAAATTTGCAATGCCAAATTATAAGTTTACAATGTAAATTTGCTGCAAAACTGTGGCAAATAGCTATATGTCCTCGCTTTGCGAAGTTCGCATTGCAAGTTTGCAGAAAAATTTCTCAGAAAAATTGCAGGAAAATTTTATGACAAATTTTAAGAAAACTTGCGGACATTTTTCGACAAAAATTAAAAAATGTCATTGTTGTAAATATGATGATATTTAGTTACTGCAAACCTTTCCCAAAGGAAAGGCGACTAAAATCTATTGCGCAGCCCTAAGTGCCATAGAAAACTACTGCGCATGACATGAACTTGAGCAAATTATCAGCAAATTTTCTTCAAGTTTGCCATAAAAATTTTCTGCACATTGTATGTAAAATTTTTCTGCAAACTTGCAATGCAAACTTCGCAAAGCGTGGACATATATAGCTATTTGCCACAGTTTTGCAGCAAATTTACATTGCAAACTAACAAATTTGGCATTGTAAACTTGCTGAAGAATTGCTGCAAATTATTGTGCTATCTGGGCTTAAGAAAATTAATTTTACTACCGACCTGTAGTTGTACTTTAACTACATATTTACGTAAAATCAACTATTACTTATTAACTTCTTAAAAATAGTTACATTAACTACTTGAACATGATTAGATTGACTAAAAAAGTAGTTATTTTAACTACTCTCTAGTCAACTACCCAAGGGTAGTTGAATTTCTCGGCAACATTTTTTTCAGTGTGAGTATTGACAAGCTTTTATCTTGACAATTGGCAGCAAGATAAAAAAAAGTTATCGCTCAATGCATAAAAACTTGAAAATCAAAGTCAAACTGTTTCAGTATTTTGTCAAGCATTTGAAAAAAAACAGACTTAAAAATCATACAAAAATGTTTTCTTATTCCTTATGACTCCCATAACAGAAATTCACTTGAATTTTTGATTTTTGTAAATTTGGTTAATAATAACAAGCTGTCTCCATTTACCCTAAGAATTTGAAAACTCAGAGTAAATGGGGACAGTTTGTTATTATTAACCAAATTGACAAAAATCAAAAATTCAATTAAAAATTTCTGTTATGGAAATCATGAGGAATAAGAAAAAAAATTTGTATGATTTTTTAGTCTATTTTTTTCAAATGCGAGACAAAATAATGAAATAAAAAAATAAATAAATAAATAAAAGACATAAACCAAGCAAATTCAATCAATTTATAAGAAAATTTTTAAGTTCGACCGCTGTATGACAAATTTTTTAATTTTTTACAAATTTCAGACAATAATTGAATTTTAGAGAATTTTTAACTGAAATATGTTCTGAATAATTAAATTTTGATGAAGTGAAAGTTAAGATTTTTAGAAATAATTACATTTTTTAAAAATTTAGAATGATAGAATTTTATAGTATTTTTAATTAAAAAAACCTTTTGTTTCCCTAAATTGTTGAAAAACAGTATTAAAATAATTAAAAAAATTAATTTAGCGAAGAATTTTCAATTAAAATTTTTTTAAAAAATTGAATTTTGAAAAACTTGATTAAAGTTATTAGAATTAACACAAGCACACAAAAAAAAGTGTTTTGGTCGAGACACTACAATTGGTGTATTACCATGTATTTTTCGCCGCTGAATCCGAATTCGATGCCAGAATTGTCCTAGTAAGGCAGCACCACCTATATCGAAACTAAAATTTTTGGAAAATTATTTACAGTATTTACTTGAAAGCAAGACAATAAAATACCGAATCGCATCAGTCTTGAAATTATCCGCCATATTGGATCCACCATTTTAAATTTTGAAAATCTGACGTCATATTTGTAATTAGCAACACAAAAAACCCCTAAGTAACGAGTTTCAAGCGAATCGAATCAACTTCTAAATTTTCATGGTCGCTATTTTGGATCGGCCATTTTGAATATTTTAAATCTGACTTCGGATTCAGCGACCCCAAAAACTTCAGTATATTTATCACCAATCAAATCAAATTTAGTATTATTATTTTATCAAAAATTGACAGAAAAAATTTTTTATGACGATTTCTGCCAAAAAAAAAAAAACGTCTGCCATAAGAAATATATGACTTTAATTTTGTGACCACTATTTATTTTGTTAATTTAACATGTTAAACTGTATAAAAAAATTAGTTTCAACCTTAAAATCAAAATTTTCCAACTCAACTTTTCTGGAAGCTAAATATGACAATTTAAATGAAATGAGCCATATTCCTTTAGAGATAAAATAAGGAATGTTGAAAATTAAATCTCAGGGATCCTGAAGGAGTAGTAACGACCCTGCGAATCGGCTGCTGATGGGGATGATCATGTTGAGCTATAACATTGTGAACTAGAAGGGGATCGTTGCTTCGAAAATGGCCGCGGGAAAGTAAACGAGTTGCAAGCGAGCTGGCAACTGGCGGAGTTGGTTGGACTTCCTTTTTTGTTATTAGGTTTTCGTTGCCAGAGCGTTATTTAACGAAACCATATAGAGCCAAGACACATCGTAGTCAGCAGGACAATAATTTTTTTTCGGTGACATAATGCATTTACAGTGAAGTCAAAAAAAAAAAAAAAAAAAAAAAAAAAAAGTGTTGAAAATTTTAAAATACAAATTTTCTTCCAACAAAATTACTGTATTGTAGTGTTGTGTTTGTGTATGTTAAAACAACCGATAAGTATGCCCGGCTCAAACAACAATGAAATTCACGGGGAGAGGGGCAAAGATCAAGGCTCATCGGTAAGGGGGGAACTGCATTCCAGAGTGGGCGGCATTCTGGAATGCGATCCCCCCAGTAATAGGAATTCGCCCAGCAACCAAACGACCATCGTCAACTCGATTACAGACGGTTTGTGCCACTATGATACTGGGGCTACAGGCAGCGGTATGTCTTTCGTTGAAATTTGCCAGGTAATTGTCTCTAAAACTATATATATATATATATAATATTATAATAATTCAAATCAATGCGAAAGAATATTTTATCAAACATTATTATTCTCATGTGAGTGCGTTACAAGTATTGGAAAGTTTGGTTTTCCTCATTGAAAGCAATTGCAATGCAATTAGATATTTCACATATGACTCATAAAATGGAATTTTCATTTTTGTGACATTGATTTTCAACGTTAGTTAATAGTATCGCCGGCGGCGCTGTTACATTGAGAATTTTATATTTTTCACTATATATATACAGTCGATTCTTTTTTTTTGATAATTGTCCTAAAACTATTTTTTAACCTCAAAAAATAGTTTTCCAATTCTTTTTATCTTCATTGTTCATTTTCTTTATTAAAAATTCAGTAACGATTTCTTTTTTTTTTGAATTAATATTCAAAGAAGTCTATATAGGAGAAAATATTTTAATTTTACAAAGAAAAAAAATTGTAAAATTTTAGAGATAAAAATAAATTTTTCTACAAATTTGTACGGGAAAAAGAATTTGACAACAACATATTGTTGGGAAAATTTCCTTCATTATTGCACAATATTGATAATACTGTTCGGCAATATTGCCACGGTAAACATTAAATAGAATTATATTTTTAAAACATGATTTGCGATGTAAAATTAAATCTAAATTAGTCACTTTTCACTAATTTTTAGTCAAAAATGACTAATTGTTAGGAAAAAAAAACTATACTAATTTATTTAGTAATGCTACTCTTTCAATTAGTATAAATTTTAATAAATTAATTGCCTTAAGTTTATCAAGAAATATTATTTAAATTATTTATTCAAAATATATTTTTAACAATTTTTTATCATAGTAAAACTGCTATTTTAAATATTGATAAAATTCAATTAATTTTTAATTTTGTTGTCTGACATATTGGATCCGCCATTTTGAATTTTTAAAAACTGATAACAGATTCGTAATCAGACACTTTGAAAACCCCTGAGTAACAGGTTTCAAGCCAATCCGATTAATTTTTAATTTTATCGTCTGCCATATTGGATCCGTCATTTTGAATTTTGAAAAACTGATAACAGATTCGTAATCAGCGTCCTCGAAAACCTCCTGTGAAACAAGTTTCAATCGAATTCAATGAATTTTTAAAAAAATGGCCGCCATATTGAATCCGCCATTTTGAATTTTGATAAAATAATAACAAATTCGTAAACAGGCACTCTGAAAACCCCTGAGTAACAGGTTTTAAGCCAATCCGATTAATTTTTAATTTTATCGTCTGCCATATTGGATCCATCATTTTGAATTTTGAAAAACTGATAACAGATTCGTAATCAGCGACCTTGAAAACCTCCCGTGTAACAAGTTTCAATCGAATTCAATGAATTTTTAAAAAATTGGCCGCCATATTGGCTCTGCCATTTTGAATTTTGATAAAATAATAACAAATTCGTAATCAGGCACTCTGAAAACCCCTGAGTAACAGGTTTTAAGCCAATCCGATTAATTTTTAATTTTATCGTCTGCCATATTGGATCCGTCATTTTGAATTTTGAAAAACTGATAACAGATTCGTAATCAGCGTCCTCGAAAACCTCCTGTGAAACAAGTTTCAATCGAATTCAATGAATTTTTAAAAAATTATCCGCCATATTGGATCCGCCATTTTGAATTTTTAAAATCAGATTTCAGATTCATAATCATCAGCCAAAAATCCTAAAGAAACTATTTTAAATGACCGTTGAAATTGCAAATTACAAATCTTGATATTTAAGAAAAAATTTAAAATGGCGGTTACAATATGGTGGATGAATTTTTAAAAAAAATTGTTAAATATTCATTTCACTTTTTATTTGGGAGTTTTTGAGATTGCTGATTACAAATCTTACATCAACTTTGTAGAAACTTTGTAAAACATTTAGTAAAAACTAAATTCAGATTTGAAATCAGTTCCCCCCCCCCAAAAAAAAAAATTCACAATCAAGCAGTTTCAAGTTAATTTCAGCAATTTTTTTTATATTGAATTGAATTTTATATGTGATTCGAATTTTTAAATAACAAAAATTCCAATTCACTGAATATTAATTTTTCCAAAATTTTTAAAACGTCGAATTTTTAATTGTCACAAATTACAAATGACCGAAAAAACATCCAACAGAAAAATTTCGTCGCAATTTTTAAAATTGACCAATAAAAAATTATCGAGAAAGTCGTGATTGGTCAATTTTTAAATTCTGTACGAAATCTTTCTGTCAATTGTTTGTCGAACATTTGCAGTTTCGGACAAATGAAAATTTTGTCGATATAAAAATTTTATCAAATGAAAATTCGTGAAAAATAAAAAATCGAACAAATGTCTATTAGGTAAATTGAAAATTTTGACATTTAAAAATACGAATCACTTAAAACTTTGTTGAATGAGTGTTCTGATAAATTAATATTGGGTTGAATTTTATTTTTTTTAAATAAAAATTTGGGTAATGTAAAATAAATAAATGAAATAAAAATTGTGTCAAACAAAAATTCGGCACCTGAAAATTTTGTTAAGTAAAAATTCGTTTAAAAATAAATTCTCTATTAAATGCTAATTCGAAAAATGAAAATTCGTTTAAAAAATAACTAAATATCTTATAAAATTCTCTAAAATGGAAATTCAAAGCATTCATTTTTATGGAAAATTCATGTTTCCCATATTAATTTATTTTAATTATCATTTTTCTTTTTTTTCTGCATTTCTGAGTAATCACAAAATCTAAATTCTTTTCATTTTTTTTTTATTTTCAATATGACCGCTTAATTCTTTTGAATCACAAATTACTTTATAATAATAAATTATAAAGTCGTAGAACAGTAATTAAATTAACGATTAAATTGCTTGGTGCTAAAAAATTACGCTCAACACTTTTCCCGGTCTATTAGACCGCTATTCATTTTTTGTTTTTCTAGTGATTTTAAATTATGTAATGACAACTGTTGTATATATGTAATATTTTAAATTTTCATGCATTGAATATTCTATTTGATTATTTTATTTATAAATAATTTTCGTATTTACATGTTTACAGAATCACGAAAACGTCAAAATAATAATTGCAGGTTATGATAACTAACAGAACTGTTATGCGCACAAACATGCGCACAAGTTACTTATAAGAATTTTCATCATATTTTTGGCTAATGTCGATATCACAGACAGTTATATAAAAAATTTTTATTTATGTTATAAAATTTAACAAATTTTAAATTTTGTAACAATTTTTTGAGAAAAATAATTAGATGCGCAAATAAAAATTTTGAGAAATGAAAATTCAATGAATGGGAAATTCTTGCATTTAAAAATTCGATATACTTAAAATTTTGTTGAATCATAATTCTGGTAAATTAAGGTTCAGTTAAATTTTAATTTTATTTAAATAAAGCATTCGATAAATATAAATGATGTTTAATAAAAATTCTCTCAAACAAAAATTCGTTTAAAAATGAAACTCCCTTAAATGCTATGATTTGAAAAATTAAAATTGGTCTAATAAAAAATTTTAAAACCATTTTCTTTTCTTGACAATTAAATGAGTTTAATAACCTTTTAACAAGAAAATTAAATTAATTAAATTTAAAATAACATATAACTGTAACGAGTCTGTTGTAAACCGGCTTTTCTACCCGTTATTGTAGATAGACAGAAAAAGAAAATAATTTCTGAAAGAATGGAATCTTGAATGAGCCGGAGAAGGAAAAATTACCTTTGTTCGTAAAAAAAAATTGTCAAATTATCATTAATGAACAAAAGTAGGTTTAAAACGAATAATATATCCAATTATCTAATATAATCATCTTGAATGAACGGAATGTAAACTGAATAAGACGCAACTATTTCAAAAAGAGAAAGAAAGAGAGAGAGAGACTAATGTTTAATTGGCTGAATACGGATGAAATGTTATTATCTAACAAAAAATTTACACAGAATCCAAAAATACACCAAATAGAAGGGAAATTACACTAATTATTATATACTAGCAAAATTAAAAGCGCGCCAAATTGAGTGTTTAATTGTTTGTTATAAAGAAATTAAAGATTAATATTATCAATAATAATATAATTTATTTGAATATTATTACATATTAAATGATAATAATGAAAATTATATGTTTACAGGCCTCGGATTATACGACTTTTTCCGACTTTTTTCAAAAATACGACTTTTATCGACTTATTTTAATAAAATGCGACATTTTTTTTTACATTTGAAAAAAAATGTAAATAAAATACATTTTTATAGTATAAAATTTATATCTTCTTTAGATCTTCTTCAATTCAATTATTTAACAAATTTGAACTAAAATGATTCTTCACTAAATTAATTATTTTAAATAATTTTAATGAAATACATCACAAATTCAATTATATCAAAATTATTTTTCTATTAAAATTTTTATGAAATTTAACAATTGTTTATAATTTTGAAAAAAATATCACAATAAAATTCAATTATTTTTTAAAAATTTCAATTCAAAATAAACTAAAATTCAATTATTACCCGAAATTTTAATTCAAAATCAATTAAAATTCAATAATTATCCAAAATTTTCAATTTAAAATTTAAATATTTACCAAGTTTTCAATTTAAAATGAAATAAAATTCAATTATTTTCTAAAATTTCTATTCAAAAATAATTATCCAAATTTTCAATCAAAAATGAACTTAAATTAAATTATTATTCAAAATTTCAATTGAAATTCAATTATTTTCTAAAATTCCAATTCAAAATCAACTAAAATTCAATTCTATTCAAAAATTTAAATTCTAAATTAATTAAAATTCAATTTTTTTTAAAAATTTCAATTCAAAATCAACGAAAATTCAATTATTTTCCAAATTTAAATTCAAAATCAACTAAAAGTTAACTAAAATACAATTATTTTTCAAAATTTTAATTGAAATTCAAATATTTTCAAAATTTTCCAAAATTTCAATTCTAAATAAACTAAAGTTCTATTATTTTCAAAATTTTCAATTCAAAATCAACTAAAATTCAATTGTTTTCTAAATTTAAATTCAAAATCAACTAAAATTTAACTAAAATAAAATTATTTTCCAAAATTTTATTTGAAATTCAATTATTTAAAAAATTTTCAATTTAAAATCAATCAATTACTTTCAATTCAAAGTGAATTGAAATTCAATTATTTTCCAAATTTAAAATCAAATAAAATTTCATTATTCTCAAAAATTTGAATTCAAAATTAATTGAATTTTCAATAATTTGAATTTAAAAAAATCTAAAATTTAATTATTTCTAAAATTTTCCATCGAAAATTTTTTTTTTTTTTTTGAAATTTAATAATTTCAATTATAACTCTAAGGAAATTCAATTATTTTTAACTATTTTAATAATATTCTTTGAAATTTCAACTATCTGAAACCATTTTTCAATTAAAAATGATTTTCAAATTATTGTATTTTGTCCACATTTTCTAATAAATTTTTAGTGAAATCATCTAAAATTTTAATTACAAAACACTTAAAGTTTCAATTAATTTCAAAAATTTCAATTTCAAATCTTTGAAAATTCAATTAAATTTAAAAAATGTTTTCCAAAAATTGTTTGATAAATTATTTTTAGAACTGTAAAATTTAATAATTGTTTGAAAATTAATAATATCTTTTGAAATTTAATTATTTCTAAAAATTTCAACTTTAACCCTTCGAAAAGGATTATTATTTAAAAAAAATTTTTTTTATTTAAAAATCTGTAAAATATTTTTGTTGAAATAAAAAACAAATCCACTTTTTTTTGGAATATAAATCGACTAAAACGACTTTTTGTGTCTTTAAGTTGATTCGAGGCCTGTGTTTTTATAATTAATATTTAATAGGTATTCGTTGGCCCCTGGTACCTTCAAAATTAAATTTGAAAAATAAATTTTTTTCAAATTACTATCTTGTACGAAATTTCCTGGCGCATCTTTTTTCTCATCATAAATTTTTTGTATTTGTATGCAATTTTTGAATGAATATACAACTTTAAAAAAAATTTCGTTGCTAAACGTTGTGTACTTCAGCTTCGTGAATTGAATTTTGGAATTTGGAATTTTAAAGAAACTTATTCCGAAATTTGGAAACACAATTATACAACTTTGGCAAAAATGAGAAAAAAAATTGTCAAAATTTGACACGTCATAAGATTACTATTAAAAAAAAACACATGAAATCAGAAAAGGCCAACTTCAAGTTAGGACAGAAGGACAGACCAAGCATTTTATTATTATATAATTTTATAAAAATTGTTACTAAAAAATTAATTTAACCGAATTTTAATTCAGCAGAATTTCTATTTAATATAATTTTTAGTGCTTCGAATTTTTAAATACTAGAATTTCCGAATTTTGATTTGTCTAAATTTTTATTTTTACCAATTTTCATTTGATAGAATTTTTAAAATGCCGTATTTTCATTTATCTAAAATTGCAAATGACCAAATGAATAATCGACAGAAAAAATTTAGACGCTATTTTTAAAATTTACCAAGTATCACGAATTTTGTTGATATTTTTCTGATTAGTTAATTTTAAAAATCGCGCCGAAATCTTTTTGTTGATTGTACAGTCGGTCATTTGCAATTTCGGACAAATGAATATTCGTCATTATAAAAATTGTATCAATTAAAAATTCGTACAAATAAAAATACGAACAAATTAATATTCGATGAATTGGAAATTTTGAGACATTTGAAAATTCGTAACATTTAAAAATTCTGTCGAATGATAATTATACGAAATTAAAATTTAAATTAATTAGAATTTTTTTAAATGAAAAGTTGGGTAAAAAGAAATTTTGTAAAATAAAAATTCTGCTAAACAAAAGTAACCTAAATATTTTTGTTAATATAAAAATTCGTTTATTAAAAAAGAAATTATGTTAAATGTCAATTCGAAAAATAAAAATTGACAAAATACAAAAAGTTAAAAATTTTAAAATTGCTTTCGAAAATTTGCACTCATGTAGCATAAAGCGAGTCCTCTACGTCTCTTGGTTGCTAAGGAAATTTTGGTTTAAATTAAAAAAATGGAGAAAATTTCCTCAATTAAATATAAAAATAATATTAGAAATTATTCGTAATATTGATGCAAATTTAGGTGCTGTGTTTTTTTCTACAAAATTTCAGTATTTAATATTTCGTGAGAAAAATTGTAAAATTTAAATATTTTTTTCGAAGGATTTTTTTTTTGTAGAGTATACTAATTAAGATGTAATGGAAGAATTTTAAAAAATTAAAAAATTTGGTGACTGTAGCATGAAGTTTATACATACTATATACCTTATTGTAGTATATATAGACGATTAGAAAGTATAGATTCACAGCGTGAGAAACTGCGAAAGCCCTATGTATGTATCTATATATATATATATATAGATACATACATAGTAGAATCTCAGCTGAAAATCCCTATAAAGGATCCTGTACATTTTCTTGCACAAGATCATGTACATATATGCACATGGACCTAATCCTATATGGAATCAGTAACTGAACTTGTACAAGAAATTGTAACAATAAAGATGAACAGGAATGCTCACAAATGATCATGTGAAAACTTTTTTTCTTTAGGAATATAGAAAAAAGGTTTCTATACGTGCCTCGATTTCCCTTTCAAATTTTCATTTTTCTTTTTTTTTTGAATTACTGAAATTTCGTTTTTTAACCATCAAACTGTTATACCGGTCTCTTAGACCGCTGTCTAAAAAAATTGTTTCAAAATTTAAAATTGGTTAAATTTTATAACATAAATAAAAAATTTTTATATAGTGGTCTGTGATACTGCACGGAAAAAAAGAAAAAGTAATTTTTACTACTTTCATAGTAAAATGGGATCTGTCCGAAGTTTCTGCGCATCTATGGCAACTTTTACTCCAAAAATAGTAAAATTTGCTCCAGAAATAGTAAAATTTACTCCAGAAATAGTAAATTTTACTATTTTTTGAGTAAAAGTTGCCAGAGATGCGCAGAAACTTCGGACAGGTCCAATTTTACTATGAAAGTAGTAAAAATTACTTTTTCTTTTTTTCCGTGTGATATTAGCAAAAAGTGTGATGAAAATTCCTATAAGTAACTTGTGCACATGTTTGTGCGCATAACAGTTCTATTAGTTATCATAACCTGTAATTATTATTTTGAAATTTTTGTGATTCTGTAAACATGTAAATACGAAAATTATTTATAAATAAAACCGTTTTAAATCAATAAAAATTTGGGATGCATGATTATGCTCTAAAAATCATTGGAATTTTCATTTTATGGAATTTCATTTGTCATAATTATTTTTGAGCCGAATTTTTATTTGTTCAAATTAGTATTTTGCAGATTTTCGTCAAAACGATTTTCTATATTAACAGAATTTTTATGTAACCGAAAATTCACTTCACAGAATTTTTATTTGTCAGAATTTTTATTTAATCTAATTGGCATTTTAAAGAATTTTTATTGGGTAGAATTTCATTGCATAGAATTTTCTTTCAGATGAATTTTCATTGGTTCGAATTATTATTTCATATAATTTACATAAAATCAATTATATTAATACTACAAAATTTTTACTTAACCGAAAAATCATTTAACAAAATTTCTAATTGATGGAATTTTTATTTGTCCGAAATTGCAAATGGTCGAACAAATAATCGACAGAAAGGTTTCGGCGCGATTTTTAAAATCAGTCAATCAAAAATTATCCATAAAATAAAATTTTTCTGTCAGTTTCTTTGGCCATTTGCAATGTCGGACAAATAAAAATTCTATCAATCAGAAATTCTGTGATTTTTCGGTTGAGTAAAAATTCTGTAGTATGAAAAATCGCTTACATGGAAATTATATCAAATAATAATTCGAACAAATGAAAATTCATCTGAAATTTGAGTATTGAGAAAGAATTCAGAATTGAAATAATTCTATGCAATGAAATCCTTTAAAATTGTCAATTATGTTCAATGAAAATTGGAGCAAATGAAAATTCTGATAAATAAAAATTCGAACAAATAAAAATTCAGCTCAAAAATAATTATGACAAATGAATTTTCATTATATTATAATCATGAGTCCCAAAAATTTTGCTATAGTAGATGGTAAATGATTTAATTGTATCAAAATAAATTTTATTTGATGAAAATAAATTTTTAGTATAATTTAGGTCAGGGAATTTTTTTCCCTAGCAGTTGTTAGACACCTTGGTTACAAAAAAGATTAATGAATGATATCATTAAGATCTTATATACCTAATAAGAATGATTTTTTGTTGAAATTTAATTATTCTATTAATTTTAGAATCGACTGCAGAATCTTTTCCCTCAACTATCGCCACCATCTCCATGCAACATTCGTGAAGAATCAATAGAAATGACTGCAGAATGCTTGGCTAATGATGTGATAAGATACCTGTTAAAAGAAGATATTTATCAAATATCAAGAGGTCCTGTATCGCGAAGTATGCGCCACAATGTCTATCAAATGCTCAACAAACATAGTATTCTTTTTACCAGTATGGTAAATCGCCTAAACGTTGTACCAGATACAGCTTATGAGGCTTTCATGGGAGTTGCTGATGAACTCTTTCACAATGGCGGCATCACATGGGCGAGAATAGTTTGTCTTTATGCATTTATGGGACGTCTTGCACTTTGGGCAAGAGACAGAAGAATGCATTCTTTAAAGACAAAATTACCTTTATATGTCTCCAGATACATTGGAGAAGACATAGTATATTTCATTAAAGGTTATGGAGGCTGGGTAAGTTCTTTTTATTTTATATATATATATTTTTTTTTTTTTGCTTTACTTTTGTGAATGTCTATCACTGAGAGAAGAAAAGCACAGAATCCGTACTGTGACAAACGCTGGCCGTGAAAAATGGGTGTCAGTATCCGTTCTTTAGTTTTGTTCAGTTGGTGTCGTTCATAGTTCAGATACTAAGCTCTAGCAGCGCGGCAGCGGTGTGAACTAAGTTATACGGAATCTGTCTCATAGCGACCGACGAGTTCCATAACTGTGCTCGTGCGACTTCATGATAGATCTGTGTGTATAAACGCGTGTTAATTATTATTATTATTAATATTGAAAAGAAAATTTTTTTAAATTAAAATGTTATCGTAAAGATTATTATTATTTACTTATTATTTAAAAATATAAGTTCAATTTTTTATAAGAAATTTCAAAATGTATGAATAAAGTAAATAAAAAATATATATTATTTTTAAAAATCATAACCTCAAAACTAATGCAGTAGAGCGAAAATAATAAGCACAACATCCATTTCACATTTTAGTACGCCATCTATCACACAGTGACGCTGCAGCTGCGCTCAACTTGGTGTACAGATGCTGAACTTCTCCATTTCCGATTCCGTGCTTTTCTTCTCTCAGAGTAAATATTTTTGATATGTCATGCGGAAATAGAAATTAGGAATTCGGAAGAGGGAACTTCTAGATGGCCGTTTTTTAGGTGATTTATTTTTATTAACATTAGGGATAAATAAATCAGCGAAAATTTTTGCAATAAGTTTACTTAAATCTAAGTTGACTCCAGAAAAATACAATAAAATGAACTATAATTGTCGACGATCGATCCAAAAGTGATCTAGCATCAACTTATTTTCAAGATCCGTATCGTCAAATAATTGGTTCCTGAAATTTAGTAAATTTACTCTTAACTATTAAAATTTATTGTGTAGAAACATAGAATTATTTACTGGAAAATAATCATTCACCGATCTCGTTAATCGATACTCAAAAATAATATTTCACTCGCTTTTAAATCCAATGCTGATCAAAGGGAAATTAAATCGCTAATGCAAAGGCAATTGAGACAAGGTAATAATTTGTAATAAACTCATCAACATTGAAAACATAACGGTGACACCAACCCAATGTTGAAAATCTTCTCCGTTCGATTACTAACAATTTAACTCAACAATAAAATAACGATAACAAATATGTATTAAACTCAACTATTTATTGAATAAAAATATAACAGTTTTACACTAAATAATTTCAAGACACTTTGCCCACAAAATACATAATTTTCCAAAACATGTTGATCCACTGATGATCCTTTTATTGAACTGAACTATGAGAAACCGATTTCTCTTTAGATTCTAAATCCATAGTTTGGGTGCGCTATCGTTCCTTCCTTGTCAAAATTCGCAGCTTAGTCCTTGTTTCTCGGGGAATCTGGTGGCAACCTATATGGAAAGTCGGATAATGATGCTCATAGTCAGGCCCTTGCATTCTAATTTGTATTTTAACTAATTCTTATTGGGCTCTTTATCAAGCCCAATTCTTATGAGTTCTAATTTTTAAATAATAAATTTTTCTATGATCTAATGTTTCTCTAACGTCCCTGGTAAAAATTTCGAACTGTTTCCAGACTAATTTGGAATTAGTCCGAAACAGTACGGTTTATTGTCAGGTTTTTGTCATCCGGAATTAGTCCGGCTAAATCCGAAATTTTTCCGATTTGTGTAACTAGTAAATCTGGAATTAATCAGGTCTTATCTGAAGTCAGTTCGATCAAATGTAACTTATTAATGCAGATTTTAGATTTACTGATTTCACAGGCCAGATCAATATCGGATTCAATGGAACTAATTTTGCATTTATTAGTTGTGTATCATCCGATTAATTGTGGATTAGACCAGATCATCATGTAAATCTATCCTAATACGTTAATTGATTTTATAATTTACGAAATTTCCCTCACTTTAATCACAGTAGGCTGGGATTCGCTTCTTACCATTGATCTATAATATAACATAGAATTTTCGCTCACGTCTGTTTGGAAAGACTTGGAAGTAGAAGAGGAAGAGGTACAAGCGTTTCTAGTGTCAGCAGCAGAAGAAGTTTGATTCCGTCTGACCTAGACAATAAGACTATTAAAGACAGACTTAAAACTCTTCAGGATCTTGTCAGTGAGGAGAAGGTAAAGTACGATCTAGCAGACAATGGATCCATAAGAAGCGGCTTCAGTGCGCAGTCTTAGAGGCGCAGAAAGGAAGAAATAGCTCTGGCAGTCCGGAAAGGACTGACACCGAGGAGTAGAAGAAAAATCAAGAAGAGGCACCTATTGACAAAAAGATTGCGAAGGTGACTGTAACACCGAATCCTAAACAAACCAGTAAGAAGAAAGCGACGAATGAATCTATAATGGTGATCCGAGTTGCAACAGGAACAACTTATGTGATGTACTGAGCAAACTTCGGAATGAAGTGAATCCGGACGTCATTCACACGTAGGTCGTGAGTTCAAAGACTACAAGAAAGGGAGATCTCCTAATCAAAAGCAGAGGAGACTCCAATAATGAGGCATTTACCACTGAGATAACCAAAGCTGTTAAAAGCATTAGAAAAGTTGCAGACCGTGGATCGACAGGTTCCGCTGCCTGCATTGCCTTACCCAGGAGGAAGAGGTGATCAATAAAATGAAGGGTGATGGTCAATTGGTGCCATCGGTGGCATACGGCCACATAGGAAGAATTTTTAAGGCAGCTAACAGATCGACGGCGTGCTTCAAATGCGGTGAAGTAGATCATAAGTTTACAAACTGCAGTAGAAGCCCAAACTTCTTTTATAGAAAAAATGATGGTGATAAGGCGAACATTAGCCATATCGCAGGCAGCGGAAGATGCGGAGTCTTCAGGACGGCCCTTGAGGAGTCCAAGAAGACTTTTGCAGGTACGAAGAATAAATAGCCCAGTAAGAGCGGTAAGGGTCGCGACAGCGAGATCCCAGGGACCTTCACCTACGATGTTTAAAGTTTGACAGCAGTTCCGTAGTTTAAGGATTAAACCATCGGGAAGGTGTGATTTTTAGTGGGTCGACCAAAATCTGCTCCAGATATCTGCCTTGGATACTTAGGGTTATGCAGATTTTCCACTGCCCTCGTAAAAAAACATAGAATATTCGGATACACAGTTAAAAATTAGGTCAAATAAGAATTATCTCATATAGATATTAGGCCACATTACCAGTACAATAATAAAGTAGTAGGGGGTAATGTAGTGCACTGGCTCTACCGACTAAGCAAATGAATCAAATTACTTGCCGTCAATATAGTAGATGTGTAAATCATGCTCTTAAATTTCTTTAATATTTCAATCTTTTAGAATAATTTATATTTCTGTGATTTGATTTAATTCTTAATTATGAAATTAAGTAGAAATTGAGATTTGTAAACTGACAAATTATTATTTAACAGATATTAATTTTCGTATACTTGTAAAATATTTTATTTATAAATTTGTTTTTATTCAACAGGAACAACTGTGCATTGAGTATCCGGTTACAGAAGAAATGAGTGGAGCAATTTGGAGGAGTCTTTTGATGACAGGTGCAACTCTTGGATTGATTGCAACAATTTTAACTGTGACTTCCTGAAACAAAGTTGTAATAATACTCATGCGATATATCTGGAAAAAAATGTATTATCGCGTACTTATATCCTGTGATCATACCGTTAAAGATATTTTCGAATTGTGAAGAAAATTATTATTTATGATTGTAACACAAATTTTGTGTTGTGAAATACTTAGAAATTGTCTTATTTCGATATTTATTTATTTTTAACTAGAATTTTTAATTTTTTTTTTAAATAAAAAAGGTCAATACAAGTACCGTAAAAGTGCAAATATTATCATGAACAATAATTTATATGTGGATTTTATCTAGTAATTCAGGTAATTGTTCAAAATTCTTTGTTGTCATCACAACAAACATTTTTTTAGCCTCAAGTCCAGTATTCTATTTAGTTTAATAAAGAGAGGCTTCTTTAGTTTTATTAAATTACTAGTAATTTTAGATTAAGAAATTCATGAGAAGTTGAAGTAACTTAAAAATGTCTGTGGTTAGCTACTAATAATTCCAAGACTGTTTTCATTAGCAACAATTTCTCAAAAATCAATTCTCACGGTCCATTTAGATATTAAAAATTTTACTGAACTTTATAGGTAGAAAAACAAAATATTTCGTATTTATTTTTTTCTAATTTATTGTAGGTAGAAATATATAAAATAATTAAATTGCAAAGCGAAAGCTTAATAGGTAGTATAAATTTTTTCCATTTTTATTTTTCAACAAAGAATAATAGTGTCTATTTTTACTATTGTAAAAAAACTATATACACATTAGTGACGAGTAACAATGTGAATAAAGATACATTTTTTGCGTCAGATTTTATTAAATAATATTAAGTGAACTGTCAGCTCTTTTATAAATTTTGTAATTTTTGAATGAAAAAAAAATAAATACTTCAAATTAATTTTTTATGATTACAATTATTTATGCATTCAATAAAATGACTGAATTTTCATTTAACTCTTATGTTCGGAAGGGACCAGAAAATTTAATTATTCATATAATTAACTGCCAGATTTATTTACAAAGCGGAAAGCTTTCAACTAAGAAAACGGGTCAAGTAAAGCCACTGATTATTGCATTTACATTTGTTTAATGAAACTTTATTCAAAACAGTACATATTAAATATTTTACCAATTGGATTTTGAGAGTTCAAACCTCAGAAAAAACCACTAAAAATACTATCGGCATGCGCTTATTTTGGGATAGGTTTCAGTAAAAGAAGCACAGATATAATTCACAGAAACGGTCGTTTATTAAGAGAGACTATCGATGAATGTTCACACGATCGAAGCTATGGAGCAAGAGTGTGAGGGAGTGCGTGCGCATACGGACATGACGTAGACTCGTAACCGCTAGAGTCAATAGAGCATATACCGCGAAGGATACAAATCCAACACTCCCTCCCGAGATTGACTCGTCGTATTATAAAATATTATTAAAGTACTTAAAATTATTAAAGTTAACTTGATATAAAAATATAAATCGAACAATACAAAAATACTATAATTAGAAACGAAGTATTTCGTAAAATCACTTTTTCTGGTTAAATACTGATTATTTTCCATCAAAACAGTCTTTGGAATCATCTTTTATGGCACCGTCATTGAGATCAATTAGAATCCAGTCTTCCATTGTCAGTCAAAAAGCTCATGGCTAATCGCTATCTGAAGCAAATATAATACAGAAACATACATATATTATCATAAACCAGTCGTAAAAGAATTTTTTTATTGTCCCTTTTTTTTTGTTTTAAAATACTGTCATATACGATAAAATTTTTATTGAATTAAGAACAGTCGTTATTAAGAATTTTATCTCGTAGATTGGTATGTACTTCAAAACTAAGAGGCTTCGTCATTATATCAGCCAATTGTTTCTTAGTCGAAACCCATTCAATATTAACACGATCGTATTTAACGCACTCTTTAACGTAATCTTGATGAACATCTGTCATATGTCTTAGCCTATTTCCACCGTTAGTCTTTGCACAAATTGTTGAAGCTTTGTTATCACATTTTAAAGTCGCGGGAAGAAAACTGTCTTTAAAAATTCTCATTAGAGATTTATTAGATGCAATTATTTCTTGACAAGCTTGACTCATAGCGACAAATTCAGCTTCGCAAGTTGATAACGCAACATAAGTTTGTTTATTTGCTCGCCAAGCAATAGTGTCTCCAAACAGTCGTATCAGAAAACCACATGTCGAAATAGAATCTTTACAGTCCGCAAAACTCGCATCCGAATAAGCTAACAAATCGTCTCGTCTACCTAAAAATTTAAGGCCTAAACTTTTCGTCCCCTTCAGATACTGAAAAACTCTTTTGACCATTTTCCACTCGTTTTCGGTCGGATCAATTTGATGTCTACTCAAGACATTTACAGAGTAGGCTATATCTGGGCGAGTAGCTCCAGATAAGTACAAAAGACTACCAATCGTTTCACGGTACGGAATGTCAAGGGGTTTTTCGCAAATTTCGTAACTGTCATTTTCTTCTCGTTCCCTACGTTCGCGATTAGCAACCTGTCGTGTCGTCATTGGTGTATTTTTGGGGAATTCATTTTCAAAACCAAATTTCGTTAAGATTTTCTCAATGTAATTTTCTTGAGTGACTGTCGTCGTTTTTAAGTTTCTTTGTCTTCGAATGTCCATACCTAGGTAATGTTTAGGTTCGCCTAAATCTGTCATTTCGAAAGAAGTCATTAGTTCGTTTTTGATTTCTAACATTTTCTTACTGTCGTTACTAGCTAATAAAATATCATCAACATAAATTAGTAATATAACTATCGAATTGCCAGAATGCCAAGTGAATAAACAAGGCTCGTAATCGTCGTTAATCAAACCTAATGAAAGTGCAACTTCAGAGAACTTTTTGTTCCACTGTTTTGGACTGACTCGTAAACCATAAATTGCTTTGTGAAGCTTGCAAACTTTGTTCTGTCGTGAATTTTGAGGAATTTCTACACCGTCTGGAATTTCCATGTAAATCTCGTCTTCTAAAATTCCGTTTAAAAAGGCAGATTTAACGTCTAATTGACACGCGTCCAAGTCATAATAGTTAATTATCGCGAGAACTGTTCGTACTAGAGTAAGTCTGGAGACCGGATCATAAGTTTCTTTCAAGTCGTATGAGTTTGTGTCTTTAAATCCTCGAATTACTAATCTAGCTTTAAATTTTATTTTACTGAGACTGTCGTACTTTTGTTTAAAAACCCATCTCGAATCGATAATGTTGGGCTTTTTACCGTCTTTGCCAATTTTCGGTCGATCTACTATTGTCCATACTTGGTTTTTGTTTAATGATTTTAATTCGTCGTCGATCGCTTTTAACCACTCGTTTTTGTCTTTAGATTCTATCGCTTGTTTGAAAGTTGACGGATCGTTATTGATTTCAGAGTGAAAACAAAATAAAATTTCGTCGTCTGTTTTATTTTCTGTTAGTTTAAACTCGTCTTCAATACTCGGAAAAGTATAACTATTTGAAACATTCGTACTTTTGGAAATTTCGGCAAAACTTATATCAGCTATTTTCCGACTACGCGTCTCGTAAGGTTCTCTTGTGACTTTAATCCTTTTGGTTTTTACTGAGATTTCATTCGAATTCTCTCCCTCCGTTTCTAACAGTCTTTTTCGTGGTCTGCCGCGTTTCTTCGTTTGAGCTCCCTCCGTTTCTGACAACGCGTTTTGATTTTGTACATCTTTTTCGTTACTGTCTTCAAATTTAATAAACCAGTCGTTTATGGAGAAAGTCGTTTCTGGAAGAGGCCAATTTTGTATCGAGTCTTTATTATATTTGTCACCGAAAACAAGTTTCTCGTTAAAACGAACATTTCGAGATTCAAAGAATTTTCCGGATTCAGGATTGAGAAAAACGTAACTGGATGTCGTGTACCCTACAAGTATACCTCGTACCGCTCGTGCCGAAAATTTAGAATCTGGTTTTCTCGTAACGGACCAGTAGGCTAAACAACCAAATCGTTTTATTTGATTCAAGTCGAAGTGAAAATTAGGCGCAAATTTATTCAAAGGAGTTTCAAAGTCAATTGATTTGTGTGGAGTTCTATTATAAACATAAACCGCCGTTCCCAATGCCAAATCCCACATGTTTGGTGGAAGTTTCGAATCAAACATGATCGATCGAATTTTCTTTTGGATCGTTTGATTAAATCGTTCAGAGACTCCGTTGTGTTGAGGAGTGTCTGGATTCGCACACTGTCGTTCTATACCTTCACGTAATAAAACTTCGTTTGTATAACCTCCCATAAATTCGGTTCCTTGGTCTGAACGCAAATAGCAAACCTTTTCGTTAGTTCCTAGCAAATTTCGAATACTTTTAATGAATTTTTCTAAACATAGACCCGTCTCATCTTTCGTTTTCATAGGGTAAGATAAAGCCAGTCGCGAAAAATCATCAATAAAAACAACGATATATTGATAACTATGTGAATGTGTGGGCGGAGATATTTTACCCATTACATCGGAGTGAATGATTTGTAACGGTCGTGAAGCTCGATTTCTTTTATTATGAAAGGGTAATTTATTAAGTTTCGTAAGAGCGCATATCTCACAATCGAGAATACTGTCGTCAAAAACTACAGACTGAAGGTCTTTATTATCTTTCCACAATGATTGTAATTTTCTTAAATAACCACATGACGCATGGCCCATTCGTACATGCCAGAGCATGGCTTTGTTCTTTTTCAAAAACTCGTTATATCTATTGTTGTTAAATGGGGTAAATTCGTCTAAAACATCAACTTCGGGCAACTCGTCAACATTAGTTATTTTTCTTTTTATTATGGAGTTGTCAAAATCGGATATTACTTTATTATTAATCGTTTCGGTATTTTCTTGAACTTTATCGTTAAATTCTTTTTCAGAGATTTTATTTAAAACTTCGATTTCATTCGTCACTTCATTTTTAGTCGTATTAATTAAATCATTCGTTTCATTGTTAGTTTTGATATTTTTATCAGTCAATTCATTATGTTGTTTAGTACTTTCGTCAAATACAGTCGTGTCAAAAATAGTTGTCATTGAATTTTCATTTAAACTCTTCCTATCAATTTTAAATTCAAGAAACCAATATGGTTTCTCATATACCCCCGTCGCGAGTAGATTTTTTGAGTCGGAATGAAAAATATTAACGCGCTTATCGTCTAAATGAGTGGAAAAACCTGCTTCTGTCAGTCGTCTAAGTGAAAGCAAATTTTCCGAAACCGAATCGGTATAAATCACGTTCGTTAATTTCAAGGATTTGTTGCAATTAGAGATTAAATTAACATTTCCTTTACCTTCGGCTAACAGATCAGCATTACTGTCTTTATTCGCGCATTTAATAATATTAGAATCGACTTTATTCAGCCTATCAAAAATATTTTTCGAATTCGTAATATGTTCTGTCGCACCTGTGTCTACAATAAATGAAATATATTTGTGACTTTTATTTTCAAATTTATTTGCCTTTGAAAGACTATATAAGTAAACGGGCGAAATCGTTTCTGTTTTTAAGGCGGAAACAGTGCTAGACATTGACAATGATGTATTTTGTGTTGTAATTTTATTTAACATACCTGTATTATTTTTCTTGATTTCCATGAAACCAACCTTTGGCGTTTCACTCGTACCCGTTCGTGGCTGTCTTTGTTGTGATTGTGAATTTGTTTTATTGTCAACTGATCGTTTTTTATTTTTATCATTGTTCTTTTTGTAAGTATATTTATTTTTATCGTAATTAGACCTGAATGATTTAAAATATTTTTTGCCTCGATTTGAATGTGATTTAAACTGTCGTTTTGAATTAGCGTGAGGAAAATTTGATCTATTATTTAAATTATTATTGGAAAACTTACATGCGATTCCTCTGCCTCTGCCTCTGTTTCTAGCCAGTCGTTTTTCACACTCATAAGCTTTATGAGTTGTGAATTTTTGACACTCGTAGCATTTTCGTAAACCTTGACCTTTCAAGGGACATTCGTTCTTCATATGGCCATAATCGTCACACTCGTAACATCGTTCGTTTACCCACTGTCGTTGACCCGAATTTGCGAATTGTACGGAGGCCATAGCAGTCGTTTTTGAACCAGGATGGTTCTTGGTTGCTGCTTGTGCTTGATTTGCTTCCGCCTGTATAATAAATAATTTGAGGGCTTCATATTTTAGACTTTTACCGGTCTGATTTTTAGTCATAAATTCAACGGATTGAACTTCGGGTAGTTGAGTTGAAATTGAACTGAAAAGTGCATCGCGTTTCTCTTCGTCCGATAATACAGTTGAACCCGGGATATTTTCGTAATTTAAGATAATTTCTTCAAAACGTTCTAAAAATTTTGCGGCCGATTCTCGTTTTATATCATATTGAATTGAATAAAGTTGTTTTCGTAAGGTAACACTCGTTAAATTTATTTCACATCGTTTAAACTCTCGTAATTTATTAATAATTTCAATTGGATCTTTAATGTGCAAAACACGTGTATGATAAATTTTATCGACTCGATTTATAAGAATATCCCGAACTTTGAATTTATGTTTTTCTTTTAATTTTTCGTTTAGTCCTTCCGGTGGAGCAACTGTCGTATCTATAATATAAAGCAAATCAATCGTACGTAATTCGGATGTTAAAAACTCGTAAAAATGTTCAAATTTTGTTTGAGAATTTAATTTCTAATCATGTTTAATTCCACTGTCTTTACCAATTAATTCAATTTTAATTGTCTCCTTTAATTGATTCGCGATCGTATTTGAATTATTCGTATTATTAACTGTCGCGGTACTTTGTGTGACTGTCGGATTATTTTTATTAATAAATTGTAAATTCGGACTGGAAAAACTAGAATTTTCATTGGTAACTGTCGTCATTTTGAAATTTTGAGGCATTATTGTATTTTCAATAATTCTAGGTTTTTTACCTTATTTTCCGGTTTACAACGGTCAAGCCATGTTTGCATGGTTTCATGCATTTTCGTTGTCATATTAAGGGTTAAATCCATCATGTGTTCTAGTTGACCCATTCTCGAATCCAAAACATTTATTCGTCTCTCCATTTTGCCGTTGCTTGGATCGGAATTTTCGTCACTATTGAACTGTCGTTTTGTGCTTTGAATAGGGCCAACTGCCCCTTTATCATTATTATTCGTTAAATTTTTATTATCAATACTGTCGTTGTTATTTATTTTACTGTCTTTCTTATTACTGTCCTTTTGAGTACTGTCGTTTTCAGAAGTCACTTCGTTTTTATTTTTTGAATTAATTTCATTGTCAGAACTGTGGTTTTTGTGTAATTTTTTATTAACCAAGTTTTTATTACTGTCATTTGTTAACAAATTGTCAGTACCGTCTTTACTACCGTCTTTACTGTCATCGTTTTGATTTTTGTTGTCGGAAGTCATGTCAGGATGATTTGGACCAATTGGAGGAATGTTATTCTCCATATCGAGATTAACTGGATCAATTTCGTCGTTTCCAGGACCGCTCGTTGTAGTTCCTGGCGACACACCTGCCAGATAAAATTTTAGTTTATAAAACTGTCATTAATTTAAATTTGTTGTCGACAACACCATCGTACTGTCATTACATATCGTTAAACAATTCGTTAAAAATATACAGAAATATAATCGTAAACAGTCGTAAACCATTCGTTTTCAAATAATCACCTGAATTTTGTTCAATGCCATTAATAAAATCATTGATGTCTTTCATGACTTCTTTATCTGTCAACATTTGGTCCGGTCTTGTTAGAGAAGTGTCACTTGGATTTTTGGCCTTCAAATCACTTGGACTAGCATCTCTTATGCATTTGACGTCGCCGTTTGGTGGAGCTAACCTCTCAAGTTCTCGGATTTCTTTCACTAAATTGTCCCAATCGTTTTTCAGTGAATTCTTGCCTTAAAATAAAATTTTGGAATAAATTATCAAAATACACAGTCGTTAATTAAATCGAAAATCTCGAGAAACTAAAAGTCTTTTCTTGAAACATAAAAACAGAACACATGTCAGAATGAATCAGAAAGAATCAGTCAAGTTACGCTTGTTACCAACAAACGCAACATAAACAGATTTAGTTGTTATCAGTCTTCAGGAATGAACACAATTCCCTCAGAAATAAAAACAAACCAGAAGAACGGTTTCATGTGTCTTTTGATTAAAAGAAGTGAGATTTGAAAAATTATAAATTACTAGTCAATTAATTAAAACTATCGTCAATAATTAGATTTAGAAATAAAATTAATTATTTTATTCTTGTACATAAATGCCCTTGTCGTTACTAATATATTCAGTAAAAAAAAAAAAAAAAAGAAACTTTCGTTATATAGGCAACTGTCATTAAAAATTTTTCAAAAAAAATTCTCACTCTATAACACTTTTCGTAAAATAAAACTTTTCGTGGAAATACTTGGTCCTTCATTTTAGTAAAATGCATTTTATTTTAACGACGTCGAAAATTAATATAAACTCAAGTATATACTGAGAATTTATATGTTTTATATCAAATGATATTTTGCTGTAAATAATTCATGAAATAGATTAAGTGCACTGATTCTAATCGTTAAATAAAACACTCGTTAAAATAAATTATTTAGATATAAATAATTATTAAAAATTCGTTAAACACTCGTAATTTTATTTAGTTCGAACTTGTTTTTAATTTTGTTTCAGCTGTGAAAAGCACAGACTCTATTTGTAAATAGTAGTCAAGTGTCATCTATCGGTCAATTTATTTACTTATCCATAACAGATAAGGTAGGAAAAGTATTGACCGACTGTCGTTTCTTATAATTGCTGTTTCGTTCACAAATCGTTTAATTATTATATTGCAATATATAAATTATTACACACTCGTTAATATTTCTTTTATTAATTGATTTAAGAGAAAAATCAAGTACTGGTCGTTGTTTAGTAAATCACTCTACTTACTCAAACTGATCGTTTCTCCTTCAGCAAAAGTTGCCTTGAAAAAGGAATCGTCTATCCCTATCCGGACTTCTATAATTTCACTTTCTAATTCCAGGGCCTTTCTGCATCTATCTATCACCTTTTTAATTGTCGCAGTCATTGCAAACGGTCGTTTAAATCCTTTTAACTGTTCGTAAAAACTCGTAGTTCACTCGTTACAATCCTGGGCACTTGATCACAATGGACGCGCGAGGCAAGTCTGTACACGCCGCGAGCACGCCGAACGCGACGATGATTAATTCTCGAAAAAAGTTTCTTTTACTAATCCCAGCGCAGCAGAATTGTTGCCGGGCCCATAACCTATCGGCATGCGCTTATTTTGGGATAGGTTTCAGTAAAAGAAGCACAGATATAATTCACAGAAACGGTCGTTTATTAAGAGAGACTATCGATGAATGTTCACACGATCGAAGCTATGGAGCAAGAGTGTGAGGGAGTGCGTGCGCATACGGACATGACGTAGACTCGTAACCGCTAGAGTCAATAGAGCATATACCGCGAAGGATACAAATCCAACAAATACAAATATAATAAATAAATTATAAATACATTTTTCCTCATCAAAAAGAATAAAATTGTCTTGAAACTCGTTACGCGTGGGTTTTTGGGGTCGCTGATTACAAATCCAGTTAGTTTTTCAAAATTCAAAATGGCAGATAAATTTATTAAAAATTAACGTATTTCACTTGAAACTCATTTCTTAGAAGTTTTTGGGGTCACTGATTATAAATCTGGTGTCAACAACCCCAAAAAACTACCAAGTAACGAGTTTCAAGTGAATTCGATGTATTGTAAGAAATTCATTTACCATATTAAATTTAAAAATTCTTGAAACTGACTTAAGGATACCTTAATAGAGTGTTTTTCTTATTATAGAATCGACAAAAAGAGATCATTAATTTTTTGAACCTTTTATTCCTTTTAGTAGACCAGGTCACATATTTTAAAATGTATGTGAGATCTTCATAAAGCAATGGAATCCAAACGATTTAAAAAAAATTCATCATATTGAATTTTGAAAATCTGACACTAGGTTCCAAATAAGTGATCCCAAAAACCCCTGAGTAACGAGTTTCAAGAAAATTAGAGCGATTTTTGAAAAAAAGTCCACCATATTGGATCCGCTATTTTTGAATTTTGAAAACCTGATATCAGATTTGTAATCAGCAACCTAAAAAATTTCCGAGTAACGAGTTTCGTGTCAATTTTATTCTTTTTTATTAAGAATAATGTTGTATTTTGATAATGGACAAAAAAATCAAATGGCGATTATTTTAAAAATTTGACCCGATATTAAAAAACGGCTACTACCATTCGCATTCAGCGTACTTAAATTAGGTTAATGCACTACATGCCCAGATTGTTCATTTTTTGAACTAGCACAGTGTTATTTTTAATGACATCCTATATAAAAAAAATTTAATTTAAACAATTTAATCTTAACAAAAAATTGTTGTAAAATTTAAATACCATCAACATAAAACTTATTTATATTGGTTGAAAATAATTTAATATAATTAATATTGAAAAAAACAATTATTGAATAATTTAGATATTATTAACTTAAGAAGTAGTAATGGATGATTGCAGCTCATTTATCTTGTATACTAATTGAACTGTAAGTATTTCTTTTTCGGTGTCAACAGAATTTAACGGCCAAATTCTTACTTTCTTTCCATTAATAGTTTCACGAAAAGTCCTTTCAAACTTTTTTAAATATATTCCTGACGTCAAAAAGTATAATCCTTTTTTATTTTCAATAATACGACCAATGTCTGCTATTCCAACTTGGCTGTTCATTTTAATTTGAAACAATACTAATTCTTCATCAGTATCAGTACTTGGAACATTTTGTAATGCATTTTCTCGATCCTTATATATTATTCGAGACCTTTGAGAAAGCGTTGGGTGTAAACTTGATTTACGAAAATTCATAGCAACATAAAGGGTAACAGGTTGATTTATCATCAATTCTTCTGTGCACTGTCTTAGAGCTAATCTGTATAACGCAACTTCAAATCGTGGTTCAAATCTTTCTACATTAGATACAAAATCATTAAGACTTGAATAGATGACGTAGTAGTCCTCAAATAGAATTTGATTCTCAATATCTCCTAAACTATGATACATTAAAAATACAGACTCCACATCGTGTCGGATCACCCCATCAAATGTATTGGCAATTATTTGCCTAGCTGATTCTAAATCATTAACCTTATATAATAATTTTTTATATAGCAAATCTTTAACGAAAATGTTATTTATTTTGAAAAATTGATATTTTTGTAGAGATGAAAAAGATTTAAGATCTTCCACAAACATAGCATATGTAGGAACATTATTTTGAATCATACTGATTCCTAAAACATATTGTTTTAAATTCTCTTTCCATTCTTTGAAACTGTGTAGAATTAAATTTGAAGATATATCGTATGCAGCACTCTCAATAATTTCGCTTCTTTTATTTTGTATCATTTCTTCATTTTTAAGTGACATCAATTCTTCTTGTCTAATTTTAAACCACTCATCTTTTTCTATCTCCTTTTGCGTTATATATAAACAAAATTCCCCTTCATTTGTGTTTTTAACATGCGTTATAATAAAATTGACTTCTGGATATATAATGTACTGATTTAAAAAACTATAATGAAATGCTCCAAGATCGACAAGTCCATATTGAAAATCAGCATTTATGCGATAGAGTATTTTTATCATAGAATCAGTTTCTAACACCTTTGTTGGTTTTATTTCCAATGAAATATCATTCAGAAGGGTAATATCATTGAAATGAAAGTCCTTATTCTTTAAATAAAGAATTCTATGAATATTATAGTTGTTAGAAAGGGTTTGACGAAACCACAGTTCTCTCCTTCCTAGATGATTCCTATTACTTTGCAAAGTAGTTAAGTACTCGAGAGTTAATCGAATTTTTAACAACAATTCCTTATCTTCTTTTATTTCAAATAATCCTTTTTGCTTAAATTGCTGTAAAGCCTTAACGCACTCATTATAATATTCTTCTCCAAACATATGCATATAATACAAATTGTCATCACTGAGTTGTCCATGATTATTGTTATTATTGTCCTTGAAGAACACAGCCTTTGATGTTTCAGTATCATCATCACCTTCTTTTCTAAGTTTGGATCCACTCGGAGTTCCTGGAGCATTATCTCTCAGGTTACTTTCTGAAATGCCGGATATGTTATTTTCCACAGGTAATGACAAATATTTCGTTTCACGAAAATCATTATTTGTCAAACCTTCTCTTGTAAAAACTTGTTTAGATCCCTTAGAAGTACTAGGAATATCATCACTTGCTAAACTTCCTCTTATATTAAGTTGTCTATGTGTTTCAGGAATAACATCTAAAGCCAAATTTTGTTCTTCTATATTAAAATTTTCAGACGGATTAGGTTTCATTTTCTTTATCGGTGGTTCGTGACTTTTAATTGTATTCGGATTAACTTGATAATTAGTTTTTATGTTTGTATCTGTAAGATTAAAATGTATCATTTTTCGGAGAATATCATTTTCTCCCATTTCCAGTGGATCATTCGAAAACGTATTAGTTGCTGGATTATATTCACGATAATAAATTTTGTTTGCCTCATAATGTATTGGAAACACTGGAAGTGGATATTTATTGCCTTCAATGGTTCTAAGTTGTGCAATATTGCCATTTGATGATAAGCACGTGGGTCCAAAGAAGTTCTCACCACCTGGATAATAGTATTGAACTAGTTTGTAATGATTCTCCTCTAGTAAAACCCTTCGTTTCAGACCATTAAATGTGGTTGACAGTTTCATATTCGTTTTTAGTTTCTTTAACATGGATGTTAATAGTAATTGGAGATTTTGATTTGAAGAATTGTTTTGAATTCTTTCAAGCATAGCGTAGTAAATCTTGTACAATATTTTGGAACTAAATTTGCTTAGAAAGAAAGTTAAATCAAAATTAGGATCTCTTATTAAAGGATAGCCAATATGTATGACTTTCAATAGGTACGCTGTTTCAATAATCTGCTTATTATCCAGACTTAAAGCAATATGGGAAAACAAATTTTCATATGCCATAATCAAAAATTTCTCTGTTAGAGAGTTTTGATTTATTTTTCTGTATGTTTCCTTTTCATTATAGGCAGAAAAAAATAGTGCCGGTGCTAAGAAAATTACTAATTGTATTTCATAAGTTTCTTTTTTGTTTTTCTTCTGTAAATGAAACACTCGTGCAATATTAACGTAATCACTAAAAGAAGCGTATACTGTTTCTTTTAGTATAGATTTAACCATTTCTAAACCAGCCATTGCATATATATAATCAACGTGCATAATGTTCATATTTTTATCGTCTGGCTCGGGAAACAGTGGTAGAATATAATCAAAATAAACTTTCTTAACTGACAAATACTTAAGTTTTGGACTTTTCTTTCTATTTAAGCAGTAATCCATACTGATGTAATTGAAATGGTGCTCCTGTTTTATAAATTTTATAACATTGGAATAAGATGTATCATTTGCCCTGATGATTATTCTTGCTAAATATTTGTTTAGATTGCCATAATGAGAAAACAAAGCCGTTCTAATGATGTATTTATATGTATTATCAACGTATAACGCATCAAGCATATCATTTTCGCCACCACCATAGAGATCACTTCCTTTCAATATTGTCTGTAGAAGCTCAAGCTTTGTCTCAGATTCATTGTTGGAATCTTTAAGATATTCAAATAAAGTGTTCAGCACAGAAATAGTTTGACTTTGTTGATTGGATGTAATTAGCTTTTTGTTGTAAAATATAATTCCAAGGGTGGTTATGTAGTGACAAACAGAAAGGAACTGAAAATTTAGTGAATCTGGAAAGGAAACTGATATGTGTTCCATCATGTGCCGAGTCGCTTAATTTTGTCTTTACTATCTATTTTTTATACTTTTTGCTGTTATATCTCTACACTTTCTTGGAGTTTTTGATGTTTCCTTAGTGGACCTGAAATAATTAAATTTTTATTTTATTTATTTATACAAAAGTTTTCTTCCCAGTCATAAGTGAAATTAATAGATTTAATTTTGTATATTCTTGAGTTTGACAATGAAGAATAAGATCGTAAAATTTCTCTTATTGTTAAATGAAATTTTAATTTCCCCAAACTGATCCATTTGTAATGGAGGGTTTAAAAAATACACAATTAAAAAATCGTCTACATTATGAAGAAATAACCGTTAACAAATTGAAGGTACTTAATCAGCAAAAAATCAAATGGAATTTCACATATGGAACCCCATATAGGATTTCATATGAAAATCCATGAAGTTTCTCTTATAAAATTAAGCCGAAATTTTGAACAGGATTTAGACTAAGAATCAACATCAGGGTGTCTAACAGTCAGGGAAGTAAGGGAAAAGTCAGGGAATTTCTTTACTTTCTGGAATTTTTTTAGAATAAATTAAAGTATAACTATTACCCGGCTGAAAAAACTTGTACAAGAAAATGAACAAGTTCTTGTACATGTTCATTAGTGAACTTGTACAGTTTCTTGTACATGTTCAAGTAATGTTTTTGAACAAGTTCAGCATCCGGAATTGAAACATGTTCTTGTACCAGAACTTGTACAATATCATGTATAAGAAAATATACTTGTACAAGGAAATGTACATGTTCTTGTATATTTTCTTATCCATGATATTGTACAAGTTCTGGTACAAGGACATGTCTCAATTCCGGATGCTGAACTTGTTCAAGAACATTACTCGAACATGTACAAGAAAATGTACAAGTTTATTAATGAACATGTACAAGCACTTGTACATTTTCTTGTACAAGTTTTTTCAGCCGGGTAGTTTCAATTTTTTTTTACTTTTTTCCCATAGCAAGTGCAAATGAAAAATTTGGCCTTCACACTCAATTATTAAGCATGTGATGTATCTTATATATTCGCAGTAATTAAATAATTATTTACTACTATTTATTGAATCTAATAAATGATTATTTTTTAAACTTGGAACAATTAATTAATTTTTTTCAATGAAATATTTGGTTTTTTAATATAAATAAAAATTATTTGATACAATTTTATTTTATCGGTTCAACTTCAAATAAAGTAAATTATTCATTAATACGAATAATTTATTATTTAATGCTAATACCCACATTTAACTTATAAAAATTTTTACGGCGTAGAATATTAAAGTATCGAATTTCTATTTAGCAAAATTGTATAAAGTGGATTTTATATTATGCAAAATTTTCAATTTACATTTAACTGAAATTCGATTTAAAAGAATTTCTATTTAGCAGAACTCTTATAAATCATTCCTAATTCCTTTTTTAAAATTTTAAATTAATATATCATTTCAATTTAACGAAATTTATGTCTAGAAAAATTGCTAAAAAAAGAACTGAGTAGAATTTTTCTTAAATGAAAATTCTGTTAAATAAGAATTAGTTCGAATTAAAATTTTCTTTAATAAAAACTTTGTTAATTAAGAATTTTGTTAAATAGAAATTCTGTTAATTGTGGATTAATTGAATGACAATTCTGTTAAGTAAATATTTTGATAAATCGAAATTTACTAAAATAACAATTCTATTAAAAAAATTGTTCTTTATGCAATTTTTCTTAACATAAATTCCGTTAAATTGAAATTGTATTAATTTGAAATTCGATATACTAGAAAGTCTACTTTATATAATTTCACTAAATAAAAATTTGATAATTTAAGATTCGACGCCGTAAAAATTGTTTTAAATTAAATGTTGAGATTATTTATACGTCGCCAATTAGTTTATTTATTTCACTTAAATTTTTTATTTTTTATGAAATTTATTCATTTGGTTCAAATACATGTGAAATTAGTGGATAATAGATAGGTAAATGATTTATTTAAATCAAAATAAAGAGCCTCGGCAAGCCCCATGCAAAAAATGCCCATTTTTCGTACCTCGAATTTTGAATCTTTTTTTATGCCAAATGGTTACATATGATGACCCAATAATCCCTGCAAAATTTCAAGATGAGCATGTGCCCCCTTTCCGAAATACAGGGGGTCAAAGGGGGCCATGTCCAAAATTAGAATATGCAATATAATCGAATAATAATGTTAAAAAAAACCAGACCAAATGGTTCCCTTAAGATTTTCGTCTGCTGATTACGAATTTGATGTCCGTTTTTAAAAATTCAAAATGTCGGATCCAATATGGCGGACGACATTTTTAAAAATCGATCCAATTGACGTGAAAATCGTTACTCGGGGGTTTTTGGGGTCTCTGATTACGAATATGATGTCCGTTTTTAAAAATTCAAAATGGCGGATCCAATATGGCGGACGACATTTTTGAAAATCGATCCAATTGACTTAAAACTTGTTACTCGGGGGTTTTTGGGGTCTCTGATTACGAATATGATGTCCGTTTTTAAAAATTCAAAATTTTGGTTCTAATATAACGAATAAAGGCAAGATTTAAGGCTAAATTCAGCTTGCAAAGGCCAGATGTAATAATTACAAAACCATCTAAAGTAAGATCCGCCATTTTGAATTTTTAAAAACGGACATCATATTCGTAATCAGCGACGTCAAAAACCCCCGAGTAACGATTTTCAAGTCAATTGGATCGATTTTCAAAAATGTCGTCCGCCATATTGGATCCGCCATTTTGAATTTTTAAAAACGGACATCATATTCGTAATCAGAGACCCCAAAAACCCCCGAGTAACAAGTTTTAAGTCAATTGGATCGATTTTCAAAAATGTCGTCCGCCATATTGGATCCGCCATTTTGAATTTTTAAAAACGGACATCAAATTCGTAATCAGCAGACGAAAATCTTAAGGGAACCATTTGGTCTGGTTTTTTTTAACATTATTATTCGATTATATTGCATATTCTAATTTTGGACATGGCCCCCTTTGACCCCCTGTATTTCGGAAAGGGGGCACATGCTCATCTTGAAATTTTGCAGGGATTATTGGGTCATCATATGTAACCATTTGGCATAAAAAAAGTTTCAAAATTCGAGGTACGAAAAAGGGGCACTTTTTGCAGAGGCTCTTTTATTTGATCAAAATAAAAATTTTTAGTGTAATTTAGGTAATCCCTGATGGGTTCCGATTCTTACGTCCATGGTTGGATCAGTTTGGAAATTAGATCCTTCAAAAGAATTTAACTTCTTAATATTGGTTGGCATAACTATTTTATTAGTTAGTTTAACTAATCAATTTCTTGAAATAACTATTTAATTAGTTACATTACTAACGAATTGGTTGGGCTGACTAACTAAATGGTAACAGTAACTAATATAACTTATCAAAAAAACTTTTACTAACGAAATGGTAAACGTTTCTTTTAATGTATTTAAAATGTCAATTTCAATATAATGAAATAATTGATCAAAATCAAACTACGATTATCCGTTTTTCAATAATCACAGGTACACAAAAAAAGTGTTTTGGCCGAGACACTACACTTGTGTATTCCCTTGTATTTTCGCTGCTGAATCCGAAGTCAAAATTGTCAGATTGGCTCTTGTTTTTGACTCAAAAAACCACTCAAAAAAACTAATTAAAATAAAAAAAAAAAATTCGAAGTCAGACTTGTCCGATTGGCTCAAAATTTGGAGAAAACTCAATAATTTGCTAAAAAAAACGAATTAAAGTCAAAAAATTCAATTTTTTTTCTGTTTCACTAATTTACTGTTTTTGCATACATTTTTTTTCCACTGAATTCGAATTTAAAGTCAGTATTGTCACATTGGCTCAAAATTTTTGAGAATTTAAAAAACATTAAAGCGATATCATAATGTCCGCTTCATGGGGACATTCCACGGTGATATTCCTGTGACATTCGCGTGATATTGAGGGAATATTCCTCTGATATTAAGCGAATATCCCTGTGATATTGAGAGAATATCCCTGTTATTTATAAAATTCTAAAATAATGTTTGTTTTGATTGTTTTGAATATTTAAATGAAAAAAAAAGTGTTTTTTAGAATTTTTTAAATTATCTCATTAATATCATTGGAATATTCCCAAAATATCACAAGAATATCCTCTCCATATTACATGGAATTTCACGGGAATATTTCCTCGGTATCATACGAATATCCCGCGAATGTCACAGGAATATCACCGTGGAATGTCCCTATGAAGCGGACATTATGATATCGCCTGAATGTCACAGGAATATTTCCACTTGATATTACCGTGAAATTCAACTAATATTCCGTGCTACCTGGGAACTGTAAAAGTTTCTCCGTAGGAACACATGTTACTTACTAAAAGCAAGGTACGCGTACGTAGAAACTTGTGAAAGAAACTTCAAATGATACCACATACCCTCATAACAAAAGGATATCCCTAGGATATCCATATCAATGGTCGATATCCTAGAATGGTCCCCAGGATATCTTGGGATATCCATAGGATATCCCTAGGATATCCAAACTGCCGGTCTATGGGACATCAACAGGACATCCATAGGATATCCATAAGACATCCACAAAATATCTATTGGCTATTATATCGCAGGATATCCATGGGATATCCTCAGGATGTCCGTGGGATATTCTTAGGATATTCACGGGATATTTAATATCTCAATATATATCCAGAAGATATACTGAGAATATCCTGAAAATATCTGTGGGATATCCTGACGATATCTATGGGATATCCTGACGATATCTATGGGATATCCTGATGATATCTGTGGGATATCCTGACGATTTCTATAGAGATATCCAGAAGATATCCTGTGGATATCCTCAGATATTCATGGGATATCCAAAGGATATCCAGACCGCCGATTTTTTGGATATCCTTAAGAGATCCTTTTGATATACATAGGATATCTGCGGGATATTATCAATATATCCCAAGATATCTTGTGTTATTAGGGTAGTAACATACTAATAAAGAACTATTAAAGGAAACTTCAAAGGATATCATGTAGGAACACACACTATACTTACCAAGAGCAAGGTACGTAAGAACT